ATCCTATATTTTAAGTTACCCGATAGAAAAACTCAAGGAAAGGCTCTCTTTTTGGTAGGGCCCAGATAATATGGAGATGAAAAAAGAGCGGTATGGGCCACGGTGGTGGAAAGTGGACCACCGGAAGTGTTCAGCATGCAAAAATTAGGCAGCTAAGTTTGGAGTTAGCATATTGCTTACAGTGACATGGCGTTATGGGTTAAATTTTGGGTAATTTATATAATTTTTCTTCTTCTTTTTTTTTTTTTTTTGAAATAGGTAATGGAAAGGTAATTTATCTAATTGAAAAGGACTGTAGGGGTGATTTTTTTTTTTTTTTAATTTGAGAGTAAATTTATCACCATTGCATAACTTTAGAGTAAATTTAGACATTTTACCTTTAACAGTCTTAGCTTCGCAACTAAACTTCACAAATTTCACTATTGAAATAAAAAGACAAACCCCTTAAATTCACTCCTCAAATAATGGAGTAATAGAGATCCACGTCTCAATAAATGTAAAGATAAATTACCCTTTAAATTATAAATTAAGACAAATCATTTATTTTTTAATGAATTTTGTTTGCCACCTCAACACTTTTTAATGAAAAGTTAATGTCACACGATAGAGAATTGATGATTTGTCTTGATTTATAATTTAAATGAGTAATTTATCTTTATATTTTTTAAGAAGTAGATTTATTTTTATCCCTTATTTAAATAGTAGATTTGGGGATTTTACCAAATAACAATGATATATTGTACCACATCTTTTTAAAAATTGAGACTAGTCAATTAGTCCATTGGGAACAATAAGATATCATGCCAACTTGATTTGATTATGCATGCATGTCTACATCTTTTTTTTTATTAACTTCTCGATATCCAGTAACCACGTTAGATTTCGATTAATTCGGAATCAAGTCACGCCAAACCCATAAGAAAATAAACTCTCCTATTGCTTATTTCTTCATTTACTAGACTCGAACTCGAGATCTTACTTAAGGAGAATTGATCTTCTTCTACTCGAGTCAACAGATCGTTGGTATGCATGTCTACTTCTATCAATCGACATTCTCTCTCCCTCTCTCTCTCTCTCTTTGAATATAGGAAATTTTGGGAAAAGGAATAGGAATTTCTAACTAATTAGTGAGAGTTAAGCTCTCAACCCCTAAACTCTAATTACCAGCTCAATTTGATTTAACATATATAGACTTTGTATATTCATACTTTTTACATATAAAATGTAGGAACTCTTTAATGGACGCCATAGGACCAGTCACAGATATTGTGAAGGATGTTGTACCTACAATTAAGAAATATGTCAAGTATCAGATATGTCACAATGATTATGTCAATGAATTCAAAGAAATGCAAACACAGCTGAAGCACCGACGGCAAGACATTGAAAAAGGACTGCATGCTCAGTTTATGCAACCTGGGAAGATTGCAAAGGAGGAAGTTGAAGCTTGGCTAGAGAAAGCGGACCAGGAAACTGCAGGAAAAGTGGTTGAAGATCTAATCTGCAAAGGGGGCTGTTTCACCTATATTTGCTCATCAAGAAAGCTTGATAAAAGGACTCAATCACTGTGTGAAGGAATATTTAAGCAAGGAGAAAAGTACACTAGTGCTGGTGAGAGTTTGGTCGTAGATACTCCCTCAATTGAGTATTGGGCAACAGTATTTGAAGAAAGGCAAGAGTAGCTGAAGCTCCGACAGAAAGACATTGAGGCAAAATTGGAGACTTGGCTTCTACAGCCCGGAAAGTTGGCAAGCAAGGAAGTTGAAGATTGGTTGAAGAAAGTAGGCCAACAAATTTCCATAAAGGTTGAAGATCTAATCAACCAAGGGGGATGCTCCTCTCCATCCAACCTAAGGAAAAAAATTGAAGAATTGAAGCAAATATTTGAGCAAGGAGAAAAATATATTAATGCTGGTGAGAGTTTGGTCATAAATGATCACTCAATTGAGTATTGCACTACTGTATTCAGAGAAAGGCAAGAGCAGCTGAAGCTTCGACAGAAAGACATTAAAGCAAAATTGGAGAATCAACTTATGCAGCCTGGAAAGATTGCAAGCATGGAAGTTAAAGACTGGTTTAAGAAAGCAAATCAACATATTGCCATAAAGGTTGAAGATTTGATCAGCCAAGGGGAATGTTCCTCATCAACTAACCTCAAGAAAAACACTGAAGAATTGAAGCAAATACTTGAGGAAGGAAAAGAATTCACTAATTCTGTTGTGAGTTTGGTCATAGATGATCACTCAATCAGAGGAGTTCCACTCCTTGTTGACAAATGTAGTGGCAGGGATGATATACAACGTCAAATTCTTGAATGGTTGAAGGGAGACAAGGATACAAGAATTGCAGTTTGCGGAATGGGCGGTGTGGGCAAGACAACAATTATGAAGCAAGTCCACAACCAACTCTTGAAAGAACCCATGTTTAACAAAGTTATTTGGGTAAAAGTGTCAAAATACTTTGAAATTATTGTCCAGCACAAAAAGAATTTTGATATTCTCGAGTTTCAGAAAAGGATTGCAAATAGCTTGGCCTTAAAACTAGAGAAGGAGGATGAAAAAAATGAAACCAAGCTTGCAGGATTGATTTCACAAAAGTTGGGGGAAGGCAAGTTCTTGCTAATTCTGGATGATGTGTGGGAGCCATTCTCTCTAGAAGACACTGGAATTCCTAATCTAGTTGGAAATTATGGTTGCAAGGTAGCGCTCACAACACGGTTACAACATGTTGCTCGTGTAATGGATTGTGAGGTGATCATGGTGAATCCTCTTCCAGCTAATGCAGCATCAGCATTATTCTTGGAGAAAGTTGGAAGTGATGTGTTTTCAGATGGCAAAATTAAAAGAGATATAGAGCCATTTTTGAAGCAAATCTTGCAGAAATGTGATGGGGTACCCCTTGCTATTGTGACAGTGGCAAAATCAATGAGAGGGAAATCACTTCCTCGTCATTGGCAGTTGGCACTTTCTGAATTTAGTAAATTTGAAAGCATTATTGATTGTTTGAAATTCAGTTATAAATGCCTAGAACCACAATCCCAACAGTGTTTTCTATATTGTGCATTATATCCTGAAGATTATGGAATCTGGAAGGAAGAGTTAATTGAGTACTGGATTGAGGAGGGGCTTATATATAAAGAAGGGAAAACTAGGGAGGTAATGAATTGGAAGGGTCATGATATACTCGATAAGCTGGTTGATAGCTGCTTGTTGGAATCAGTTGAAAATAGCTACGAAGGAGATCGTGTGAGTATGCATGATCTTCTCCGAGAAATGGCACTAGAAATTAGTCAATTTTTTGTGAAAGCTGGCATTGCCTTGAAAAAGTTACCAGAAGAGGATGAATGGAGAGATCATTTGAAGGTTTCTTTAATGAGGAATCATATAATAGAAATTCCTTCAAGCATGTTGTCTCCAAAGTGTCCTATGCTCACAACCTTGCTATTGTCCTATAACAATATTTCAACAATTCCAGAAGCTTTTTTTGAGCATATGCTTGGGCTCAAGATTCTTGATCTTTCCTGGAATAGGAGGCTAAGTGGGTTGCCGGGTTCTATTTCCAAATTGAAGAAGCTTACCACATTATTGCTAAAGGGTTGTGAGTCCATAAGAGAGGTACCGCTTGTATTCAACCTTGTAGACTTAAAAAAGTTGGACCTTTCATGGACATCAATTGAAGAACTATCCCAAGGCCTCAACATGTTAACAAATCTAAAATATCTTGGTCTTGGTGGAAGATTATCCGAAACACTTGATGAAGTGCTACAAAATCTCTCCAAACTTCAGCATTTAACAGTAAATACCTACAAAAAATTTAAATGGGAGAAGATTGGAAGCTGGGGGAAGCTTCAAAACCTTGAGAAGCTGGATCTTCAGAGTTTGGATAATTCGAATGCAGTGTTTGGGGAAATAGGAGCAGTTGCTGAGTTAGCACCGCTACCAGCTAGCACATTTTCCTATCTTCAATATATTAGTGTTCATAGATGTGATAAAATAAAGAAGTTATTCTCAGTTAGGTGGTTAGGGTATCTCCAGAAACTAGAGACTATTGATGTTGGCTCTTGTATGCAACTGGAGGAGATAATAGGGTCTGAATCTGAAGGAGAAAAAGTCACTTTACCCAAGTTAGAAAGCTTGACATTGATCAAATTGCCCCAGTTAAAGAGCATCTACTGCGGTTCTTTGATTTGTGATTCCATTAAGAAGATTGAAATTCAACAATGCAATAATATAGAAAGTGTTTTTGGGTCGGGGTTCAACCCACTTCCAAATCTTGAATCTCTGTGGCTTTTGGGTTTAAAGAATTTGAAATCCTTGTTTGATGAAGAAGGTCTTGGTTTATCGCCACTTGTACCTCCCACAAGCTTTTTCTCTCTTAAAGAAATTACCATTTATTTGTGTCATCAGTTAAAGAAGGTATTCTCATCTAGTTGGCTTCTCCGCTACTTCCAATCTCTAGAGACTATTGAGGTTGATATGTGTTGGGAAATGGAGGAGATAATATCGTCATCGGCACATGAAGAAGAAAAAGTCACTCTACCCAAGTTACAAGACTTGAAATTGACAAATTTACCCCAATTGAAGAGAATCTATAGTGGTTCTTTGATTTGTGATTCCATCAAGAAGATTGAAATTTTTAATTGCGAAAATATAGAGAGTGTTTTTTGGTCAGGGTTCAACCCACTTCCAAATCTTGAATATCTAGAACTTAACTGTTTACCGCATCTGAAATCCGTGTTTGATGAAGAAAGTCTTGGTTTATCGCCACTTGTACCTCCCACAAGCTTTTTCCCTCTTAAAGGAATTCGGGTTTTTGTGTGTAATCAATTAAAGAAGGTATTCTCATCTGGATGGCTGCTTCGCTACTTCCAATCTCTAGAGACTATTGAGGTTCAATGGTGTTGGCAAATGGAGGAGCTGATATCGTTATCGGCACATGAAGAAGAAAAAGTCACTCTACCCAAGTTACAAAGCTTGAAATTGAGGGGTTTGTGGGGATTGAAGAGCATCTGCAATCATTCCGATGTGTTGATTTGTGATTCCATCCAAAGACTAGAAATTACCTACTGTAAGGAGCTAAAAAGGATTCCTCTTAATTGTCCCCTGCTTGATAATGCCCAATCATCTTATCCTCCTTTCCTCAAATAAGTTGTGGTATACTCAAAAGAATGGTGGGAATCATTGGAATGGGAATATCCCAATGCAAAAGACATCCTTTTACCCTCATGTAAATTTTAGTAGTGGTAAGGCTGCAAATGTAAGCCTTTTAATCTTCAATTTTCCATTTCTGATTCAACTTAATATGAGTTTTCCATTCTTAATAAATCTCTCTCTCTCTCATCTATTCTATTCTCCCCAATTGGTAGCAATTGGGATTTGGCTTTGTAACCACAAGAAAGTTGGAGGAAATCACATATGCACTAGTTGTTGTTGCTCTTGGGTTTTCACTTTTATATAATCTTTGTTTTCATTTTGCTCTGTGTCTATTGTGTGTTTAAATATGTCCAATTCTAGTGGAAAATTGGAAATGTTTGTTTCTTTATTATCTGTATAATGTTGTTTTTGAAATTGTGGGCCAAAAAACTTGAAACTGTATTTGCTTTTCTTGTGATACCTATTTTAGTTGATTGCATTTGCATCTCTTTTCCAATTTAATTCAGCAACATTATCATCCTCAACAACAACATTATCTTCTCAGAACCGCCAAAAAAGGACTAGCATTCAGGTCAAAATACATTTCTCTTCTTTTCTTTTGCCTTTTTTAATTAATTATTTTGTTTTGTTTTCTGATTGCATGGTCTGAATATGTCTCATTAGCTGAAGTAAATTATTGGTTAAACACTATTATTTCAAAAGAGAATTACTTAATGCCCATACTTGGATGTTAGTGGGTTAACATTCATCTGTGGACAGCCCAATGTTCGCGCTGTGCTACAAAAGCATGCTGGTGATGAGGAGCTACTAGATCACTACTTATCACAAAGCATATATTGTTCTAATACATCATATTTGACACCCAATCCCATGTTGCAAACTTCACTCTTAAGAGCAAAGCAGATTTTCTGTGACACATCAAACCATCAACTGTTATGTGGGAAAAGAGGGGTTCTTATGAGCATGTTTCTTTTTAATCAAGCAAATTGGCGGAGGAACTATATATACTAGGGACATGTTAAGACTTGTTTACTGATGAGTTGAATATATATATATTAATGTGAAATTTTTGCCTTAATATTATTAATATTTGGATGAATTTTATAAGATTTTACGTTATTTTCATTTTTTATGCAGAAAAAGACTTGAATGCATAAAAATAAGAGTTTTTGAGATTAATTGAACATCTTCTAAAAGATGAGGGACTGAACTGCAAGAAGAAAGGCATTTCTTTGGGGACTTAAATGAATGAATCTTAAGTTTCGGTACAAGAGGAGAGCACTAATGTCTAGATAATGATGATTTGTTTCTAGAATGCTTGCCTATTAGAGTTCAAGTGTTGTTGAAAAGTTTTGTTGTTCAGTCTTCTTTTAACTAGTTTGTCTGGTACATCTCCAAAGCAAGCTAGAGTTCATCTTCTCTACACTGTGCCAACTGTCAGAATTGTTGTCCAAATTATATATCAATGGAGAGAGTGATTCAGGCAGTCAGCTTTTGCTCTTCATTGCTCATCTCTTCGCTGGGTTTGCTGCATGAATCCGTCAACTTCTAGGTCTGTAAAACTGCTTTCTATCTTAGGGATTACCAACTGCTTTTTATTTTAGGGATTACCCTTTCTCTTATGTTTTCTTTTAAGATCTGATGTAGATTTCTCTGATTATCTGTTGTAATGCCATTATTGGCAAAGGTTTGTTTGGTTGCTAAGAAGATTGGAGAGAACCAAGTTTCTGAGGTTTTTTTCTTCTATATTAAGGAAATTGAAGTTTAGTTTACTGATCATGCTTGCTTTTTTCCTTTAATTTTCTGCTTGTTTGACTCTGATCAATGAAAATCTCAATATGACCTTTTTAGTTGTTGGAAAGGATTTTATTTAAAGTTGTCAAATGAGTTCCTAATTTGTGCTAGAATTATCAATTCCATGCGATCATCCCAAACTTTCTCAGTGGTTAAAAATATGTGCAGTAGTGTCAGACTAATTCTCATTGAAGAATGTGAGCATGTTCTAATATCAGCAATCTAGGCTCAAAATTTGCTTTTGCATGTGGAGGATTATTAATAGCTAGATAGTCTTAATCACATCAGAATAGTAATTGGATTCTAAACCTAATTCTGATTTGATTTCACATTGGATTGTTGGTTATGTGAATTATACTTTTACATGGAGATATGTTTGTGAAGTTGTGCTAATAGTTCTGTTATTGTGTGATGTTGTAGTTTACCTAGTGGTATTGATACGGTACCTGACGGAAAGCAATGGGAAACATTTACAAATGTATTTGGTTTATGTGAGATCTCAAAAGTCAATCAGTTATGGTTATGTTTATGCTTTTTCGATGTTAATGTCTATGGCTGTTCTAATGCTATTCAGTTTTTTTGTGCTAGTATAGTCATCCAGCTATGCCTTTGTTGCCACAGGCTATTTAAACTTGGTTAATTCTGAATGATTTGAGCTTTTCTTTAAAATGGTTACTAGATTTTTTTGAGGTTATTTAAATGTTTTTCTAAACTGAGAGTTGGTCAACCTGTTGATAATTTGCAGGAAGTTCAATCTGAAGATTCTACATCAAAGTAGATAGAGAGAAAAAGGTTTTTCCCTTCTCTACTATTTAATATATCATCTCTTCTACTTTTGAACATTGGAATAAAGAGAATACAAAATAGAAGAAAAAGAAACCTTTACCTTTTGAGTTTAGATGGAATTACTTCCTCCTTGCATCTTGTTTTAATAACTAGCCTAATGGTGCTTACACGAAACTTGTATAAAATAATAACTAGCAACTTAATAGGCACTCCATGTTGCAGTGAACCCCAGCCCAAACAGCTTGAAGAAGAAATTGGTGGTGCACTGCGTTTTATATAGAAAAATGAAGACTTTAGAGCTTTCTTAGCCTCTCTATCTCCGTTTCTTTACCATTCTTGTCCTTTTCTGATTTTCTCAGCATGCAAACAATGCTCAAATCCTATTAGGCATTTACTAGTCTTCTTCTATGTATTGCATAGGTCAACCATGCATTGACGATATCTGTTATCTAAACCAGCAGTTTTTTACTCAAGACTTTTTCCTCATACATTTAAATCTATCTGTAAATTTAGTGACATAGGCATGAACATGATTGTATATATGTCTCAAATAGCATATGATTTGAAGTATACCCCCTTTTAGGTTCACTCATTAAAAAATTTTAATTGTGGAACTGTGAATCATGCATTACTTGTGTGCTACCTGCTGCTTACCTTAGGGTCTTAGACAAAAATCATGTTGCTACAGTTGCACTCGTATTGAGGCAATTGCAGAGGAAACCTTTAGAACTTTCTTTGTCCTTTTTAAGTTTTTGCTAATTGTTACGGTTTTGCCATTCATTATCAACCCTTGCTGCTCTATCTCTAATTTGCTCTCGAAGATGTCTACTGATGAACCTAAATTTCATACAATTATACATGGCTTTTTAGTCATGAATTGTAGTCTTTTATATTTTATTGGAATGATTTTATTTGGTTTTACATTGTTTTTATCATTCTTTGTAGGTAGAGGGTAAAACTAAAGAAATCTAGAATAAATGGGCTGAAGTGACAAAAGCTGAAAACATCAAGTCTGTTCCATGATTTTCCCATTCAAAGACCAGAATTGAAATTGCCTTCTGCATACACGTGGCAAAACAAGATGGGCTTTATCTCCACAAGGAGATAAGATGGGCTGAGAAAAAGAAGGACACGGAGTTTTCAAAAGGAAGGGGCACATTATTGAATAAAAAGAGGAGGCAGCCGCTGGAGATTCTGTGTGGAGTGAC